CACGGTGATTTCGGCCTTCAATTGTACTCAAACGTATTGTTACACGTTTAATTAATACTCGAATTCTGCTTTTGCATGACCCAAAACTAATTCCTATTCCCGAACACACACCTGATACTTTCTTCTACTAATTCAAACGAGAAGTAACAAAATGGGTATTTCCTAAAACTGGATGCAACTTCGTCATAACTGAAAATCCGTCATGCCGGCTCACTCAATTTAACGTAGAACTGAAAAATCAGAATATCAAATGGAATGCAAAAGTTGAAAATCGGCTGAAGAAATCTATAACCTTTGAATGGTAAAACATAAATTAAAAACTCGAGTCGGGCATCCTGCAAAATGCCTGACCTCTTTTCCTGGAAAGTTAGAGGTAAAAATGTCGGAATAATGTTTCCGACATAGCTGAGGGTTTTCCTGAGCAGTTTACTCATTATCCTCTACACAAAGGACACATGGTTGAAAATGTTCAGGAAATGTAAGGAATACGTACAGTAGACCCCATTACAGTACTTGACATTGATTTTTCAAATCTGAATCGACGATGTTTTGTTTTATATATTTTGTTAAAACGTTTGCCTAGATCAACTTTTCAGTAACATAATATGGGAAACTTTTCCGATTTTTATTTCGGATAGTTTTAGCAAGTTTTCAGTTATAGTATGAATGTTTTTCTGTATTTATGTACTATTAATTGTAGGGCAATCTGTTTTTCTGTATTTGTGTACTATTAATTGTAGGGCAATCTGGCCTAAAGACATATTCATATATACCTGGCACACAAGCGAACAAAAACGCGAATTTGTGACGTCAGATCAGATGTGCGTGCTGCGAATTGGCAGAAGTGGGACACATTTCAACTCTAGTGAAATTCTGCTGCAGATCTTTCGTGACGTCAAATTCACTTCGGTTTCACATTCGTTTATGGATTTTCAGTCGCATAATTTTCGACGGTCAGCGTTCAACTTAAGGCCGGTTTATACTTCAGGCGAATGCGAAAGCGAAGCGAATTTGACGTCACGAACATTTCCAGCGGAATTTCGCCCGAGTTTAAATGTGTTCAACTTTAAGAATTCGCAGCGCGAATATTTTGATCTACCCTCACAAATATACATTCGTTTTCGCTTTCGCATGAAGTATGACCGGCTTTGACACAGATGTAGGCTACAGGGAAATGCGCGAGCCTTCGAAGTGTCTGAACACTATTGCTTACATAAAGTGACCAAAAGATATATTCAAATTCGAAAATGGATGCGCCTCCACAGACATGGTACGCCTCATGAAATGTCTTTGCCCGTCATGTTACATGAAAAGCCTCTATAGCATGATTGGTCTTAAATAACACAGATCTATTACGCTGCTTTCAGATGGCCTGATAATGGTTGTGATTAACTTTCCAACACAAGTTCCAAAAACCTAATAAAAAACTTTATTCTACGCTGAAAAGTTTTGTCAACCACTGCCGATTTTTTTCCTATTGGGAATAATCTGATTGATATTCATTTGATTTCATTAAAAAATGATACAAGCGTTTTTGTCACAAGCTGCATATAAGCTTTATGAAATAGCACTGACTTATTTCAGGTTTCTAATTTCGTTTTAGAAGCAAAAACAATAAAATAACCACTACGTTACACACACATATTTAAGAAATGGCTGAAGAGCATTATTACCACTCAATATTGTGATCCAGGACCGTTCCATCCAGTGTACAGTGGAATGTTCAGTTAATAATCTAATAAAAATAACGATAATTGTGACAGAATAATTCTGTCCGTGATAATTATCATTAAGACTGTTACCCCAACCGCTCAGTCACGTGACAAACGAAACCAGCGGGAAAGGTGTCATCTGTCCATACGACTTCTTTTTGTTACTCTTGCAGCAAAGTACTTGTCCCTAGGCCAATTACATGTACAAATTTACGTTTTAAATTTACTAATGTACAATTACATAGTGGACAACCTCTACCTGATACATTGTTAACGAATAACTCAACATAAATTGCATGAACAAAATCTGTTCCACAGTCGTAAAACAAAGGCAATAAGTGAGACAATTGTTCAAATCTCGCTCCGAATCCCTGTTTCTGTTTGCTCTTTTTTCGGTCATGTCCATGGTTAACATGTAGAAGTTACAACTCAGAATTTTTGCCTTGAAAGCAACAATTCGCACAGAAGGTCCACTGTCCATCAGCACTGAGGCTACACGTCTTAAGCTTGCTTTACAAAATGCATGCATTTGCATACACTGACTGACGGAGGGCCGAAAGGGAAGAAATTAAACATTCATCAAATGGGACTACAACTGAACATCATCGCAAGACGCAACACTGAAAAGCTGTCTTTTCTTATGGAATGTCTTTCTTGAATAGGAAACATGCAAGACCACACATAAGACTGATCAAAATTGCATTGTTGAAACCGGAATACCAAATCGTCAACTAGGAATGCAAGTTGATTGTTTACAGTCAGAGGGTGATGTGTGATTGTCTTGACCCTCGATACTTAAAGGATTATGTAAGCATGGACACCGATCATCTCGACAAAATTCACTTGAAAGATCAGCTTTGAGTAAAATACTGCATACACCAACGGACGTGCCATTCAAAGTATTTCATCAACTCGAACACTTGAAAGAATTTTTAAATTCCGTTCGTTGCTCAGCATAGAATTTCCGACATCCGGCAAAATCTCTACTTATACAAGATTAAGTTACATTTTGCAGTATATAAAAACGATAGCCCGTATGCTGCTGCGCCCGACGAAATACGATCCCTTTCTTTGAATCATTGGATCTCACAGTCAATATAACCCAAGCCACCAAAGACACTATCAAAGTTGTTAGATTGTGAGATAATTCCTCTAACAGTCTTTGCTCACCTTCACACACGTCTGCGTCATTACATATTTGTAACTGATTTTCTTTGTTTCCAAGTCACCTTGACATAAAAAGTTTATATTTTAGGACCTATGGCGCACATGTCAGCCACGGTGCTCTACCACGCTGCTTTTATAACAAAAAGACTGAACAGATCCAAGCATGCTCAATTAAGTTTGTGGGTAGATTGAGTCCGTGCCTTTCATCTTATTAAGAGAATTCTGTCTTTTTTAATGCGAATTTCGCTACAAAACCTTAGGAGAACAAGAAGCAACCGTAGCCAATGCCTTTCAAACATAAGAATAGTGACTGTGAAAACAAGATTAAGAAAGACAAAGTCATCAAGAAAAATCGCTTTTAATAGACGACACTTCGGAGAACCTTCTGATTCTAAAAACTGTCTTAACCACACGAAATCTCGTTGACATGTCTGTTAAAGAAAATAGTATCTGCCATCAAGGGTCGATTCCACGCCTTCCATTTTTAGTGAACGTCCAGCTATATATGGGACTCACAGGTAAAGCTCTCAGTATAATTATGAGAGCAATATTTGGAGAACCTCCTTTACTGTCATTAATATTATGGACGGCATGATTACATAACAATTATAAGTCTGGCTGTTAGACTATAACTCCAATGGGTCGGTTTCATCAAGAACAGCATTGTTTTGGTTAATCCCTACACAAATGTTATTCGTTGGCACTATACCTTCCACTACAGTTTATCACCAAAAAAATTAAGAGTATCAATTTAGCATTGCGTAGTGGAACTTGTTCATGACGTGTCCATGTCTCCAAACTGAAGTTTAGCGGCAAGCCTAAATGTACTGTAGGCATGTTGTAATTTTAAAAGAGCTGCTTTAGTTCTCTGTTGTTCTGGTATTCTCAATGGGTAAATCACTGTGTACCGTCCAGTTTACAATAAATACACTTGTAAGCATTATATATATCACTTTTCGATATATATATAAATAAATATGTAGAAATATATAATTCATGTAATATTTTAGAAATTACATTACGTTCTTTAGAATCCTATTTTATTTCACAGTGATAATAGTATATTAGTTTGACTTTCTATACTACGGGTTATCAAGGCTTTGTGTAGCCCTGAATTATGCCGTGGAAGTATATCATTAATTTTTTCAAATAGTTTAATTATGCAGAGTTTCACCCAACTATAATTATTAGCTTAATCTCACGAAAGCAATTTCATATCAACGTTTTGTGAGATAATCAGTTCTCTATATTAAAAACTTCCGACTGCGAGGAAATGATTCAAGAAGATAAAATAAATAAAAGGTAAATTAAACTTCTATAATAAAGTACAATGATATGTAGGGAGTGTGTGAACTTTGTGGTATCGTTTCCCAAACAGATTAGCTTTTCAGCTACTTTGTTTCTTGCTCATCTACTAACGCGCATTTCTATCTACCCTTAATATATTTGAACTACAAAGTTATTATAATGAGGGATGTGCGAATCGTCAGATGGTAACTGACGAGTCCAAAGGCCACACGACGTTTAGACGGAAGTTACGAATAAAATTAATAGCGATGTTAATGATCTTAACTGAGCAGCGTGTTCTTCATTTACCGGAACACACTGCGTCTGCTCTTCCAAAATTATTCTGATGGCAATATGTCCACGAAAGTGACTTAATATTTGTAATACTTTGATACTTCACACATGCATGTGTGAAACCATCGGACATATTCACCACAAGTATTTACTTTCCTCTTCAGTCTTTCTTTCAAAATGCATATTATAATTAGTCTTTGAGTGCTGTGCCCAATGAAAATTTTGTACACTACTTTCTACACAACATGCTAATGATATAAGTTAATTCTGCATTATGTCGCACTCTTCAATTAAAGGCACAAACTTTACATGGTATTGAATGTGTAAGCACAACTCAGTGTTCCTTGGTGAAGACAACAAATTACGGAACCTTACATTACATATATAATTTGTTGGTAAGATAATACGACTCATTTTGCTCAACTCTCTAACCACCAGTATATCGTTCCAGAAATAAAAACAATCCCACCTAGCCTACAAAAAAATGAAAGGAAAACGAGCTGGAATGAACAAAAATGAAAAAGCAAAAACATTTGAACAATATTCACTCACAGGTAACAGAACAAAACAACAAATATACACGATCTATAATGTAAACTTAAAAAAAAAATGGATCTGTTTTATCTTGAGACAAATATTTAGTTTGGTCCGTGTCAATAAAAGTGCTTGCCATTTTTAATGCAAATGCGCGGGGCCGGGCTGACCATTAATCACACGGAAGACATCATTACCCATTTATTCAATAATTTATTTAAAAGGACAAATTTTTGTCCGAGTGTTGGTATTTCGTAGCTCAGCTACACAAGCAACGAGGCCCAAATCAACGTAACTTGGCTTTCTTAAATGCAACGTGTTGTCAATAGTTGTTTCAATTTTTGAAGCCTTTGTAAAAAAAATCATTAGGGTTATCTGCCACAACCACGTGAATTAGAGTGTGCTTGTTCAAGAAAATCAAAACAAATCCTGGACAAAATAACAACGGGAATTCCCAACATGCTTTAAATCATAAAGTTTGAATTTACACATGATTTCATGCTGCAGTGTACAAAAACAGTCATCACCAATTCATTATCATAGATAATATCTGCGAACTCAACTGCAGCCAAGATAGCAAGACTGTTACCGTATACGTCGTTTGCCAATAAAAACACGTATCTGCTGCACAAGGCAAACTCATTAAAAAGCAGCATTAGTATGATCCGTACGGTGGAATAACCCAACCGCAGCAAAAAGGGAATAGAAAATACTAGTTTGTTACAAGTTGGTAATTTAATGAAGGATGTGTAGAGTCAGACTACTCTCTGCAGATTCCATCTCGTTTCCGGGCCACGTATCTACAAAACCTATTTTCTCAGAATAATGCATGAGTTCCCCCCCCCCATATTGTGTGATCTATGTCATTATAGCGTCGCATTGACGGAATTTTTGTTGCATATCTGACTTCCCTAAAGCATTCAAAATTAATCTAACAAGAAATCCAGTCCCCCTTTTCATTATAAATAGGTAGAAAATAAAATCAAAATAAAACATGTCCACTAATTAAAGTGTAAACAAAATGGTGAGATAATTCATCTCAAAGAAAGAACACATCATTAACCTCTTGTCTCAGCTCTTCAACCTGTCTGGGAGAATGAGACGGGTGCCGTCATGTTCCCTGTACAGGTAGTTCCGGCTCCGTTTACCTCTAGGCAGCGTAAGGTGAGACGTTCCCATAAGAAAGCCCCTTTCACAGGATCACATCTTCGGCGTATTCACAAAAGGCGATAAGATGCACCCAGCCAATCTCGAGACAGCGAGAAGAAGCAGAATAAATAATTGTCCGCTCAAAGATGAAGCCAACCGACAGCAGAAACGCACAGGACTTGGTTTCACACCTTCAGCGGTACACGAAATGGTAGTAGGTTTACTGTTTTAGGAGCACAATCCATGGCATGCACTCTTCACACAGAACGGGTAGCTTTAATCTTATGCAGTGGTGAGGCTGAAGAACAGAATCCTAAAGAAGAAATCCGTGGTGGCAGGTGGGACAATGCAAGAGGTGGTATTGTTCATAAATCACTGACTCAAAATATTCTCAAAATAGTTCAGCATTGTCCTGTCATCAGCATCAACCTTTGTCGTACATTTGAATTCGGTTTCATTGCAAAAATATAAGTCTAATTTTATCACGCCCTCATACACAAAAAGACGCGTTGAGGAGACGTGAAGCCATCACACATTCCAGCAACATACTTCCACATTGCCAAGGTCTGAGCCACTATTTTCTCCTCACCCAATCACTCAGGTTGCATTTTTCTAGAAGACAGGCCGGCACCTGAGATCGCCATCACCTCGGGTACCTGTCCTGTTTCCCCCCCGAAAGGTCTGACAGCGAGTAAGTGTCACTTGTTTGACAGGCGGGACTTTTCTGCAAAACCGCTCTGAACATTGACTTTACATGGCAAGACGAGCCAACGCGTGACCTGACACGACTTAAGGCTAGGGCCGGGAGCGACTTGTCCGATGCACGGAGAATTTCTCCCGTCAGGCGCTCGGTCAATAATATAGATCCAATTAACGCAGACTGGACGTTTAAAGTTCCGATTGAAGATGGACTTGCGATGTTCCAATCCACAGTTAACAAGACTCTTGTTAGAATTTCAGCTGCAAGTCCTCTATGTCTGTTGCATCATCCAATAAGTCTTTCTTTGTACCTACGAGGTTCATGTTGGAATCCATTTCCTTACTACCGCTGAGGCCGTACAGGGACTGTATGTCATCCAGATCAGACTTGAGTTTGACCACTGTGTCCGATAGGGCCTCGATGTAATTTTTAGCTAAGGTCAATGTCTCAATCTTGGAGAGTTTTCTCTGACAGGTCACGTGGGGTATGGTGTTCCTCAAAGCTTGGAAGGCGTCGTTCAGGGAATGCATGCGCATGCGCTCTCGCTCGTTGCTCTCTAGTCGTCGAATGTTTCGTTCCCTCGCATTGGCGCTTTTTCTGCGTCGGGAACCACCGCTCTTGCGGGTTGTTTTGGCGCGCTTGTTGATACTCTCGGGCTCCTCAGCAATTGACCCTGTAGAGGACTCTCCCTCCGCTGAACCATCGTTAGATCCTTCTTCTACCGAGTTGGTACGGTGCAGTTGCCGCTTCTGCACACGGTGTCGTTCATTGGCAGCTGCCTGCTGTTCCATGGCCGCTGACCACGCCTCCAACCCCTCTTGAGAATGAAACTCCTCCTCTAGTTGACTCCAAGACATGATGAAACTAGCTTGCACTGCAACACACGGAGAAGGGATAAATATGAGACAGACTGTCACAGCGTGTAATTAAAAAACCCCAAAGCATCTCCCAACATGGTGCAAACCTAGGCTAATTCGCCTGATGAGTTGGCCAGAAGGCACAAGTCAAATCACAACAATAAACCTCCCACTGCCTCCAGTCCTGCTAGGAGATTCGTAATTGCCCCTAACTGGTCGAGATGGGGCATCTAACCAAGTGTAATTTTCTAAGGGCAATGAATCCATGAATACAATTAGCCAGCCTCCCGGTTGCATCCCGGCAACGCCAACTAATGGTGTGCATCCTACACTACAAGACACTTGATGGCTGTTTGGAAGGAGCCCAGCAGTTTCCGCTCATAACCAGAGTCTTGTGTATTCTTTCTGGTCCAGATATAGCCCTTCATTACATCCGCCTCTGACCAAACTCCGTTAAATATATATCATTCAAGTGAACTGGAAATCTAATTTGAAATCACACGTGCGTGGCAATATTTTCACCTTATGGCTGTTCCTACTACGAGTTAAAAACAGACAAAGCTGAAGGCGAAGAACTAGTTAAAAATTCACACATTTGCAAATTATTACTTCCGGACACGATCGCCTGACAATAGGAGGGAATGTTTCCCCGTCAATATGGATCACCTCGATAATTGAGCGGTTTTATGGGCACTTTAATAATACATGTAGTAACAACAGTTTATTCATTTATAAAGCACACATTTCATAAAAATACGTTCGAATGTGCTGTACATTAGACTTCCAGTAAAATTACACTGACTAAAGACATATATACATGAATAAGCAATTTAAACAATACGATACACACGGAAACAAATTAATTACATGTAAATCCATCTAAAGAATAAAATGCAAAACAAAGTACATACGAGAACTACCCCCTGCAGACATGGCCAGAGAAATCATGTACAATTCTCTCAAAACCTTCACAGAATAAACACGAAGCCTAATTTAAAAAGAAAATTTTTATCAGGAAGTTAGACAGGAAACATACTTAACATTAAGAAAATGAACTGGTGAGTTATGACTGTTGGCTCAACCGGTTCACTGCACTCGTAGAAAAACAGTCTAAAAGCATACTGCTCTTTCATTATTTTCTGTCAGAGCAGAGATGTCTGCTGTCCATGGAACATTATACACGTGTTATGCGTCATGGTAGATTGTGTTTATAGTGGCACAAATATAGTGAATATACAGCTCCGTATGGCTGATGGGCTGACTGCCCGACAAACACACACAAAAGGCTGAAAGCTTTCACAGAGAAATTATTATACTCACACGATCAACGAAGCAGTGTCAGGAATATTAATCATGGTAGTACAGTGCACTTTTACACAATATTAAAATGAGACAAATGGATAATATTTTCAATTAGGAGTCACTTGAATATTTGATGAGTCTTCTGGTGCACGTGGTCTTAAACACGTAACTTAGTTATTTTGTCTTCCCATGCATCAGAAACTTAAAAACACTTCAGAATTTCTTGTCCGCCTGTGCTTGCAAGGTAGGTGGATAATAATGAAGAATCGTAACCTAGATCATTTTCAGAGGAGCAAGAGTCAGACAAAAAGTCTTGAAAACACACTATAGGGAATATAATACAGGTTAATGTTTAAACGGGAAACGAGTGACTGGAAATCTTATCCGTACAACAGGAGGCATATAAACACTTGAGTTTTTCTCCTTTTTTCGTCAATGTTTGAAAGGTCGTGCTACTAGTACGTAAGTACTACTCGCAGAAAACCTATACAGATTAAGCGTGACATTTGATTCTACCTGATCGCCGCATCCTTTCCATTTTCCCAAGCAAAAGAGACCGATCTTCGATCGACCCAGGACTTCGCGCATATTTACCGGAATCGAAGGACGAGTAGGAGCATTAGGATGGCGTATTTCAATGTACAGACATGGCAGCGGTACGCTGATTAGTATCATCAACCAAGCAATACATGCAACCACTGAAAATAATATACTACATCAGAAAATAACATACTCCATTAGAATCGGTGGAACGGAAATGCTGATATTTAGAGACCTAAAAATGGGGAAATATCTTTCAAGGCACACGCCTTTTTCTACTCTTTCCTTTTCGATAATGTGCGAATTTATGGACCTCTTGCCAACGTCACAACTACTCTAACTACTCTGAAAGAAATCCCATCTGAATTGAAATCCAAAGATACTGATCTTCAGCATACATACCTTAGTCCGTCCTCCGAATCCTGCAGGTGCGTAGCAGGTGTTTGTTTGACAGAGGATGCACGAGCCTTACACACTAGTCTTGGAAGACTGCAACACGGGAGAAAAATGAACACCAGAGAATATAGTCACACGGAGTATCAAAGTGACGGGAATTAGAAGTGATCCAACAGCATGAAAACAACCCGTGTTGACTGTCGTGTACCGTGATGAAATAACAGATGCATATCAGATAAAGACAGAAAAGATGCAAGCGCGTGCTGGCGACGCGTGCGTTCAAAGAGAGTGTGTCCACCAAGCGAGATGAACTGGTTCAAGTGACGACCAACCCGTGCGGGGAAAATACAGCTCGCAAATACGATTACAACCACCGTCGTAATACCTGACGTCACGCGGCCGTCTGACGTCAGCCAATCACAGCCTGCGTAGCACACCGCCCACGTGATCTTTTTCATGAATGGCTAGCGAGAGCGAGGAGCATGTATAGTAGTTGACCACGCGGGCTTGATCGTCACCTCGCCGCAGGCGGAAACAATCGGCAGACATTTTCCTCAAATTAATAACTGACTTGACGGTACTGTTCGCCTGCTGTATACGTGAGATAGACCTTTACGTTAGTCAGCTATGACGACTGTAAAATTGTCCTTTCGACAGTCTCTGGTACACTCAATAGTAATAACAGTGGTCTTCTTCCTTTTTTAATCATTTCATTTTCGAAACCAGATTACATGCATTGTTGTGTATTCGCTGTTTTTCCTATATCCTCATAAAGCTAAAATAAATATCTGAACATCCGTTTGCTGACGCCTACATTATGCCGACACGAAACGGTCGCAATGTGAAACCGATGTTATGATGACGAGACTGACTTGGATCGAAAGAGTTATAAATATTTTTTCCGAGCAGGGGTGAATTCCGACAGCGTTGATGGGATGACATGGGTCTGTTTGCCACAAGTAAACTATATGGACATGTCACCTGCAGCTGTCTCTCAATAAACAGCCGCTGAGCAATGTTTCCAATCGACGACGTAACAAGTATTGTTCATAAATTCAAAATAGTATTCACTATGAATAAAACATCCCTTGTCTCAATCAATGGCCAACGACGGCCGTTAAATTAAGCTGCTAGTGAGATATAAATATGACCTGCGTTGCTGAAATCTCAATTCAAAAGGTCAAGTTGACAGCCACCATTGTTCAAACTGTTTCCAAAGATGTACTTTTCGTCGGTAGATATGATATTTACATATGGGTTTTCCTTACATCGACGTGTTTATTTAGTTTATTCATTATGCATTTATGTATTTCATTTATTTGAATTAATTTAATTCTCATTTTTTCATATTTATCTGACATTAATCATTTTTTCTTCTTTTTCTTGAAAAATCTCACTTAAATCGTGGGTGTTAATGTAATGCAAAAAATGTGCCTTTGTTTTACAGTTTTCCAAGATTAGGTTCATCTGTTCGCATCAAAAAGCAAACTTTGACCGAAATCAAAAGATAACAATTCTTAATCCATTAAAATCGAATGACAAGCACACGTCGCAATTATGATTCCTGGCGTAATCTTCGATCGAATGGAAGAAACTATATTTAGAGAACAGTTCACCAGGTGGCTTGGCTATGAGAAATTCCCACTGACAATTTAACAACAAAAAGGAGTGGAGAGTTTTGTTCATGAAATACATTTACCTTAAAAGCAATTCTTCCTTTGTCAGCTTAGGATTCACTACAATCATTCAAATGAGAGGTTAACCAGAAATGAAAAGGGTAGAAATGATCTCAAAGAAACTTGACTAATCCATATTCACACCTTTCTGTTGCCAAAATACTTCGACTATCCACTTTGACCATTGAGATTTGACTTTCAAAATGAAGAGTCAATATTTTATCGATTGTGGCCATTTTCTTGCTCTGAATCTTTCATGTCGCTTAAAGTCGTGCAAAGTACAAAGACCGCTAGAACACACACACGCCTCCTAACAGATCTGCTGACGCGAGCAGACGACATACCCCCCTTTGTTCTGAAGCAATGAGGTTTCTTAATTCTCTCATATAGGATTAAGATAAAACAGCGCCTAAAAATCATCTGTGGTGTTAACATCAGAACAAAGTACCGCTCGTACATCAGTCTTTTCGTGGCGTGATGTACATGATCCAGCCTGCATTTTTTATACGGTCGCTGTATCACCCAGGGCAGGGTGGATTACTTTGTAATTATCTGCCACAAGCTTGTCTAAATTTACATGCCATGTGGGACTATAGGATACTTTATCACTGACTGGGACCCTGGGTGCTGTCATCAGTATTATCATAGCTACTGGATATGCATGAGAGAGTTCACTAATGAAGACAATATCTCATCGGCGAGAGGTACTACTACTTGACCTGTCCTAACATGCATTGCTCGATGTCTCCTTGCCAGAGGCCAATCATTTGAGACTAAAGAGAGGGCTTGTGGTAACACCATGTGGAGAAATCTCTTTTGGAAGAGGTACGGTTCTGATAAGAACCGGTGAGTGTGAACACGACGTTTCGATCAGTGTTTTCTGGTCGTCCTCGGGAGTGAAGAATAGTTCCAGAGCTCACTATTGCAAAACAAAGCCCTCCTTACAAGTAATCTGCAAAAGTACTTCAAACTTAATAGTCATGCACAGCAAGGTATAAAAATCACGCGATATCAGCCACTGATGTTTCATGCAAGCTTGCTTGCCTGTCTGTGTACAAAAAATGAAAGGCATTATATAGGGAAACTGACTAGGTGGGTGTAAATGATTATAAAAAAGAACAAAGAAATTCACTGGAGCGGGATTTGAACCTACAGCTTCGGGAACACCGTACCGGTGCTCTACTTACTAAGATATCTAGCCCTATGGCTAGTGCCCCCGAACAAAGATATTGACAAATGGGAAGAACCATGCTCAGTTGGTAAAGCACCGGTACGGTGTTCCGGAGGCTGCAGGTTCAAACCCCTCTCCAATCAATTTCTTTGTTCATCTTTATTAAAACAGATTTTAAAATGCTGCGGTGAAAAAAAAGTTCACAAGTGTTGAAGACAGAATAAACTTTACTGAGAAATTCATGATAAAACTTAACGGTTTAGAGGAAAATAAAGAACAACGTTTGGAGGTATCGTTTTCCCATCCACTTTGTGAAGATCAAGACCAGAAGTACTGGCCTTAATTGCAACTGCAATAGAAGAAAGTTTTGTTTCTTTCTTTGGACCATAATATAAAGTACAGTCTTCAAGTGCTTACAGTTCCAAGTGATAAATTTAAAAGGTGTTCCAGCCATGACAAGAAAACAGGACTGTGAGGCGCGTTGTTGGCAAATTGACCTGTCGAATTTACAAGCACATCTTATCTCAACAAGTACGCGGCATGTTATGGATTTGGATGTTGAAATCTTTAAGAGCCATCTTTAGGAAACAAACGCAAACTGACATGAAATGGTATGCTGGAACCACTGTCGGATTGCCTTCACTCTGTCGGCGGTAACCAATCTGGTGAATTGAGCTCCGCCATATGAACTGGACTCTCTTTGATGTAATACTCTACAGGCTCTCTGCATTTCAGTTGACAGATTAAAGCAACCCGCACATTGCTAAACCTTATTAGCCAGTGCCTGCACCTTTCCCAAGGAACATGCTTCCTTATGAATAGCCATGATAATTGGAGAGGGTATATTCAACACGTGTGCCCACTACCAGCAAGATCCATGTCCCACAAAATGTTGGACAAGCAATTCAGTGTGTCCCTTATTCCTATAATTCCTATAAAAAAATTTCGTAACACAAACGGTATTAACTAGTCACATGAGTCCTGGAAATGTCTCGAGAGATGTTCGAGCAGCTCCTTTTCATTTTTTCCCCGTTGTGCTGTACCCATGCAGAACTTCAGAGAAGTAACCTAAATAGACACCAAGCGTACTCCCCTAACACGTTCTCCTCGATTCATCTATAAAGGACGACTACCCCAATTGCTGAACCTCGGGGTACTTACTGTAAACTGAACCTTAAGTTCGCCCTTCATTAGATGCAAGAGATTCTGTCGCGATTCATTTCCTTTGATGTGCCCATGTTTCGTGTACATGCACGGCCTCGTGCATCCTTTAATCTGAGGTTGGAAAAATGAGATTCTCTGTCCGTCTTGGTCTATTAACCTCCATTCATGAAATACGGAGGAAGCGGGAATTAGGACATGATCTCCATCCGTCAAACAACACTGGGCAACAAAATCAGGACATGTGCCGTCTTGCACAGATGAGAAAATAAGTTAAAACGGATGAGAAATAAGCTGCTGAAAGATATATATGCAGCAAACTGGATAAAGGAAAATCGATAACGCACTCTACGACATTTTAAGGAGAGGATTAATTTCAACTCCTGTTTTTGTCCTGCATTCAGTAAAAGGATTACACATCTAGTCACTTCATTAATTTGGAAATGCAGAAATTCATGGTGCAACGCACTGAAATGAGGTAAATCATGAGATTTGTGACCTGCTAACAAATGTAAAGTCATGGGTTTGACATGGCTTCAGCTACCAAATCCGACGTACACTCTTTCTGGGGCTGTTTTGGAATGTGTGAGTTCTCTTAAGCTTCATGGCTGCTCATTCCAAAGCAATCTATCTTGGGATTTACACATTCGAGACATCATCTCCAAGTGTAACAGACTGATTGGTCTGATCTGTCTTGTATTTGGTACTTGCTATTCTAGTGTGCCTCTTCACCTGTAGAAGACCCTTGTTTTGCGGATTGTGGACTACTGCCCACCTGTCTGGTGGATTCACCGTAAGAAACATATTGATTCAATAGAATCCATTCAGCGTCGAGCAAGTCGGATGATTTTAAGGCAGAATTACATGGAGCGAGTTCGGGGCTAATGGATCTTTATAATAGAAGGCTATCTTTAAATACTACTTTAATCGGCAAGCTTTTAAAGTCCAGCCCATCATATTTTACGTCTGGTTTTCTTAACTCATTTCAAGTTAATTCAAGGCATCCCGATAAACTTCAACCCCAGGACCGATGCTTACAAATACTCTGCGAATGTAACTCTGCCTAAACTATTTTCTGAACTTGA